AAGAAATAAGGTCCAATTTCATTCTTCTGCATATGGATACTCAGTTTTCCCAACACCATTTGTTGAAGGATGGCCTTCACCCAGCATATGCCCTTGGTTCTTTTCTTAAAAAACCAGTTGGCTATAATTATGTACATTTATGACTGGGTTCTCTGTTCTGTTCCTATTTGTTCTAATACCAATACCATGCTGTTGTGGTTACTACAGCCTTGTATTATATTTTGAAGTTAGGTAGTGTGATGCCTCTAGCTTTGTTGTTTTTGTTGAGGATCGCTTTTTAAAATCCATACAAATTTTAGGATCTTTTTTTCTATTTCTTTATCTGCTCTTTTCTCTTTTACCAAACTTCTTTACTATCATTGTTTTGAACCCTTTTCCCAAGATTTCATGAATTTCTTTTGTATTGGAATCTGTTGTTGGAGAATTAGTTTTCCTTTTGTAACTCTTTTCCCTTGCTTTTTCATGATTTTTGTAACCTTACATTGATATCTATTTATCTGGTGTAATAGTCACTTCTCTCAATTTTTTGAATTTGCTTTTGCGGGGGAAGTCTTTTTCCTCAAGATTTACCCGTGTGGTGTTGGTTGGGTAGGACACTTTGTCTTTGACTCAGGGAGCATTTAGTAGTATAGTCTCCATATGATTTCTTTGGCTGTAAACAGCATTAGTAGTGTCTACTTTTTTTCAATGGCATGGGGGTGCAGTTGTTCCTATGATGTTTTGCTGAGGACAGGGACCAGGGACATTAGTAGGGCCAGTCCTCAGGACCTGATTGATGGCAGCAGTGGGCCAAGTATGCTTGTCCTTGTACCCAAGAGCGGCATATGCTAGTATTAATGTTCGTGGGTTCAGGCAGGTTCATTCTTGGGCTTCCAGGTGGCTTGCTCAGGTGCTGAGAAGTAGTGGGCTGGGTGGGTGGGTGAGTGGGTGTGATGTCGGTGACCTGGACTCTCACTGGTCTGTGCTGATGTTGGCAGGGGCTATGATGGGCTAGGCAGGCCAGTTCCCAGGTCTGCAGGTGGCATGAGTGGGTGTCAGCTATGGTGATAGAACTGGTTGGATGGTCATCTTCTGACCCCTGGGACGAGTGTTCAGGTACCAGTGGTGGTAGATCCCCAACACCCTGGATGGCATTCTTAGGCACTGGGGCAGGAGTGGAGGCAGACTGGGGGTGGGCCTGAAGGCCACCACATTGGTGTATATGGTCACTGGTTGTGGTTGACAGGAGCAAGGTCTCCCAGGCCTCTGAAAGATGCTTGTGCGTGGAAGTGGCAGTAGCTGCATGACAGCCCTGCTACTGGGGGCAGAGGGTGGGCAAGCCTGTTCTCAGGTGCTTGTAAATGAACAGTGGCACTCCTGTGGTGAGGTAACTGCTAATGGCTGGCATTTCAGGCCTGGTGGCAGAGGGAGATATGGTTCTAGATGTATGTGGAAGATAGTGGGGCTCTAGGGATGTGCAGATGCAGCGACTGTTGGACTCCAAGTCTCCGCGGTAGGATGCAGTCTGGTGGGGGCTGGGCTCTCAAAATAGCACCTTGATGTAGCTTCTCTGGACATGGGGTGGGGTGACCCAGCATGAGCTCCCTCTCTGGAATAATGCCATGTAATAGTCTCTGGGTAGCACTCTTTGTAAGTCTCAGGGCCTGCATGGGTTGAGGGACTCCCCTATGACTAGGACTATAGGAGTCTGCACTGGGAATGTGGACCACTGGGGTCACTCACCTGCTCTTTACTAGCATTGAAAAACTGCCCCAACCATGCAGGCTGCCTTGCTTTCCTCTCCGTCCTTGCTTTAGGTGTTTCCTGTCACTTCTCTGTGGATTTCCAGTGTTCTCTCTTAGGTGATCTATAAGTGTGATTTTTCTATTCACTATTGTGGTTGTACTTTGTGGAGGATGTGAGTACCAGATTCTTCTGGTCAGCCATCTTGAAGCAATTGGTTTGCTTTCCTTGAGTAACCATAGCCTTGCTTCTTGCTAACTTTAGTTTTGTAAATCACCTTTTCATGTACCCATTAGGTGTTCTTTTTACAACTTCTGAAAATAGCTCCTTCATATTATAAATTCCAGAGGAAGAATACAGGCAGTCCCCAGGTTATGAGCAAGTTAGGTTCTGTAGGCTTCTTTTTAAGTAGAATTTGTGTGTAAGTTGACAGGTACATTACCTATTACCCGTAATAGCCTCTGTTTCTAAGTATGTGTTGTATATAAGTCAGAAGTTTGTAACTTGGGGATTCCCTGTAGAACCAGGCAATCTCTGGGAGAGGCCTGGTGTACACCACCAGTGTTCTCTTAGAAGAGGAAGGCAGTTAAGTACTACATGGTCCAAAAGGGCTGCCTCTTAAATTGTTTGGTACTAGGAAGCCCTCCAGCCCCACACACTGTAGTTATTATAACCCTGAAAAGAGAAGCTTCTGAATACCTTACTTAGAGTAGGTTTAGTAAATATATAATTGGCCAATAGCATGTATGGGAGGGAGGAAGAGTGATGGAGTTTGTAGAGGTAGGGACCTATAGTCAGTCTTCTTAGTACTAAGTCTGGCATTAAAGCTCTGTGCCTATTTTTGGTAGAGATGGGCTTTTTGCTCTTGCTCAGGCTGGTCCTGAACTCCTGGGCTCAAGCAATCCACCCGCCTTGGCCTCTCAGACTGCTGGGATTATAGGCAAGAGTGACTGTACCTGGCCCAAATTACTGTTTTGTTGAACCTACTCATATAGGAGATTTTAGGCTGTCAACATGGGACGAGAGAAGTTAAAGTCCAGAGTTCTGGCCATGTCAGTTTTGGAACTCACGTGACCCAAGGGCTAAGAAACTTAGGGTGGGCTGTGTGTGGTGGCTCATGCCCAGAAAAACAATTTTTCCCATGGGGGACATTAATAGGTGGAGCTAAGGTGGTGATGCAAGCAATGGGAAGTGGCTGTAAATAGATGAAATTGCTTTGCTGCTTACCTCCTGCTGTGTGGCTTGTTTCCTAAGTTTTGTGAAAGATAATTTTGCCATAGGAGTGTGGGGGGCAGGTGGAGCTCTGTGACCTGGTTGTGAACAGGCCACGAACTGGTACTAGTCTGGGATTGGAGACTGCAGACCTAAAGTGTTGGAGCTTATTTGATTACTGACCTACAAGTGAATGTTACTTTTTTACACTGGGATGTTGGGAAAGAAATTGGGACATATTAATACTTAACATATCACTGCAGGCTACCTAGAGTCAAAGTCAGGGTACTTTGGAGGAAAATATTGTTAAGAGGGATTTTAAAGTCTTGAAAGTCCTATCTGAGTTCCTATAGGTTGGAAGTACAAATGGGACTAGCTTAAGCACATTTTAAATTTTTTTTTCTTGCTTTGCCCTAAGTGGAGTTTTCCTTAAGATGTATGTATTTAAAAGTACAGAACCTCCATAGTTGACCATCTACCTAAATTGACCACCCCCTTAATTTGTCCTAATTCTCAGACTAGACATGTATCACATGTGTTTATCAGTACAGTAGGCCTAGGTCCTTACCTGTTTACTTATTTGGGAAGATTATATATATACTCCGTATATTGACTAGTTTGTTACAGTGTCTTAGGGGGTCAACTTATACTGTTACTTATCAAAAGGCAGTTAACCAGATGGATATAGCTGAACTTTTTGACAATAAAATCTTGGTTTCATCTGTACTCAATGAAATTTTCTCCTTAAAATGAACTGATTTCAGTGGAGGAAGAAATAATAAAGTGAATCTTGAGACAATTAGTAAAAAATAAAAGAACTCCATAAGATTAGCACTTAAACTAGCTAACAAGTCAGATTCAGTTAAACAACTGGTATTGACAACTCTGTCTTTGCCAACAGCAAGGAACTGAACATCCACAGCACTGCTCAAAGAACGGGGAATGGATTTGTGCATCTATTTCAAATAGGGGCAGAGCCATGTGAATTATTCATTGAGAACTGCATTTAATTAAGTCTGAATCCTAAATTATAGAAGAATTTTAAAAGTGAATGTTAAAACTTAAACTGTTATTGGATAGAAATTAGGCAGTTTTTTTCTTAAGGAGAGCAGATTCACTTAAGAGTTCTGTCTGCATCTAAGTCACAGGTGGGCTGACACAGGGAAGTGGAAATTCTTAGGGCTCGTTAGTGTAGAGGAAATGCATACAGCTTAAACGGGGCACAGGTGCTATTGAAAGAATACATTCCTGGCTTGGCGCCTATAGCTCAACCGGCTAAGGCGCCAGCCACATACACCTAAGGTGGTGGGTTCGA